TGCCGGGCAGAGAAAAAGTCCCCCCCCCTGCCAGCAACAGGCTGCCCCCTCCCCTGAGCAACAGGCTGCTGAACAGACAAAAGCAGCCTCTCTGCCCCTCCTCCCCTCTATACATGCCGGGCTCCCGGAGCGCAGCAGCGTCCCCGGGGCTCGCTCACCTGGGTCCTAGAATCCACCTCCTCCTCCTCTTCGGCCGGCTCCAACTGGCCTCTGCCTGCAGCAGCTGGCCACAGGGACAGGGATCCTGCAGAGCTGCCGGGCAGAGGAAAAGTGCCTCCCCACGCCCGCTGCCCCCTCCCCTGAGCAACAGGCTGCCGAACAGCAGACAAAAGCAGCCTCTCCGCCCCTCCTTCCCCTATACATGCTGGGCTCCCTGGGCAAACAAAGACTCCACCAAAACAAACAAAGTGCTGGCCTCATTGTGTTAGCAAAAAAAGGACCCTCCTCCTAGAACCCTGGGTGGTGTGTGGAAATAAAGCTATTAGCTCAAAGCATGGTGCAGAGCTTTTTGGTATTTGATGAGTTACTCCTTTAGTCCTGAGTTTGTCACAGGGACAGAAATAGATGTGAAATCTTCTGAACAGGGGAACAGACAGCAAAACAAACATTAGAGGGGAGTTAACCTTTCCCTATGCTATCCAAAACTAAAAAAAATGTTTGGCTAGAGTTTCCCCTACAATATGTACCAGTTCCGACTTACATACAAATTCAACTTAAGAACAAACCTACAGTCCCTATCTTGTACGTAACCCGGGGACTGCCTGTACTTGTACATATAAGTTAGATCACCTAATTCTGCAATTGGGAACTCAAGTTATAATCAGTATTCCCTCTAAGCTGCAGAGCAGCACAGCTTCACAGGTAATTAATCAGCCCTGCCCAGTCAGAGGCTCAGGACTCCATGCACAAAGCTGACTGGCTGAGCGGGGCTGATTAATCACTTGTGAAGCTGTGCTGCTGCATAGCTTAGAGGGAACACTAGTTATAATATATCTGTTTTTGTGTGCTGAAAGGAAGACCTAGGTATTGTTTTAGTCCTTTTCTTAATGCCTGGCATAGCTTGTCTGCTTTTCAACAATCTAGGTAGATAACATATCACTCAAGGGAGTGTGGAAGCAGGATAAGGGAAAAGGGTTTAGGAATAAGGCAAGACTCAGGCTAACCCTGAGGTCTTGCAATGCAAGAACGAGAATTTCAAGAGATGCTTTCTTCGCTTCGCTCTAAAAGATTAGGATGGAATGCTGATTCCAGTGGGAACCTTGAGATA